TAGCATTATGGGTGCACTGTTAGTAAAAGTCCTTTGAAACAAAACTGTTCGCCCTGTGTCGGTTAGAAAAAAAGTTAGCAAGTTGGGGTTGCGAAAATAATCATTTTCCAAAAAAACAAAAGAGGTGTTATTATTGGGCAAAAAATAAATAAAAAGTCAAATGGGGTAGGGGTCCTTGAGAACCGAGCCAGAAAAACAAAGAAAAAATAACCCAAGTAAACCCCCCCCCCCCCCCCCCCAGGTGAAGATCACTAAATAGAGTTAATACGGGAAAAGAAAGGAAACTTATAAATTACATAACAGTCTCGCTTGCAGCACTTGACCAAAACAACTCCAAAGATATAAGGCAAACTCTCTACTACAACTTATCTCTTGCCTAACAAAGCCAACTAAAGCAGTGCGGTAAAGGGCGTGGATACGTTTCTTAGTAACGTCGATAACATCATTGTGGCTTAAGCATTTGGGGCTAACGAATCGAATTAGATAGATATCTAAACAATATTCCGGATAAGGTGCGTCAGCCGTAACAAATAATAATAAGATGAATGTTACGGACACTCGTTAATTATTAGACAATGCCATTGGTTGCCGAGAACATGGCAATGTTTAAAACATAATAATGAACTAGTTGATAGAGCTGCGTTTATTGATTCTGTGGGGATTTTGAGTGTTGGTTTGAAAGATAAGGCTTTTGAAAATCTCTGTGATTCCTTGGTGTAAAAGAGACTACATGTTTGAAGGAAGGATGAAAGGAAGGTGGAAAAAGCTCGCGCACGTTTTTATTATATTCACCCGTGTCATTTCTTTGGACACCTGTCGCCTTCAAGAATTCTCCCTGATTCGCCCACGTTTATCTTATCCAATAGCGTGCAGCACGTTATGCTATAGATAATGTTTGAGAAGGTACATACGTGCAGGCGAAATTTTTTTCCACATTGTAAGTGAAAGAGGAAGTTTTACATTACACGTGTGCTCATTTGAAAGTCCAAGGTTGATCGTCAGTCTTTAGAGCGCTTATAACTAGAAAGCTGCCTGGCGTTCTTGTCACGTTAAAATAAAACAAGTACATAGTGGTAGCCAAACGATTCTCTTGCTTTCAGGTTCGGGATTTTGGAGCATTTTGTGGTTTGTGTGTGAAACTGGGATAAAACGACGGCAATTTTTAAAATACATGAAATACGATAAAGTCTTGAACAAACATTTAATAAAATTTCGAAAATCAAACACAGGAGTCCATACCGAAAAAAGAAGAAAACATTTAAATGCTCATCACTCTAAGGTGAAAAGGGAATACACTTACAATTTAGTGGTTGTAGTTGGAATGCAAGTCCAATTAGGTGCTCTGTACCTACGGCTACAGTCGTATTCGTTGGTAACTTGGCCTGAACTATTTAACCAACCTGTACTGCGACACAAATGATTGCAATCTGTAAAAAGGAATGAACCTAAGAATAAGGCGATTGGTAGAGGGAACTTTTCAAGAAAGCGGTACTGTTTGATATGTGCATTAACACAGAATTAATAGACAATAATATAACGAATTGTCATTTCTTCTCATTGATTAAAGTTGAAACCCAAATTTCCAATTTTTGGTAAATCCTTATTGCTTACAAACCTAAATAGACACAAATTACCCGTGTTCAAAACAATGGCGAAACAAGAGCAAGTAGTCTAAAAAACTTTTTACATTCCTTTTTCACCGAACGAACTGAATCATGAACGAATAAAAAAAGGAAAAAAAAAACTGAACACAACTCTTTGTGCGAACTACTATAGTTGTTTATTGCAAAATGTCTTATCTACACTGAATCAAATTTAACAGCATTGAATCCTCACCCATAACGGTTACTTCGACCGTTTTGGAGTCAGTTCCTTCTCCATTTTGTGCTAGGAGAGTGTAATTGTAGGTACCCGTCCGGTTTATTTGGAATCCTGTTATGTTGAAACCGCCCTTCAAAGGTATTGATGTATTCACTAGGGTCAAGTTAATCGGTGGGGTACCTTCCAGCAGAAACCAGACATAGTGGCCTGGTACAGTTCGCAACTCCGCCAATGGTACCCTTATCCTCGGCTTTTCTGAAAACAAAAATTTAGCAGATTTCTATCACGTTGCAAGCTAATTTAGAGTTACTTTAACCTACTTAAATGATACTTCAGAAATATAAGTTAATAAAGTCTCTATCGTGAGAGTGAAGAATGATCATCGCAGTGAATTTTCCAATTTAAGCAACTGGAAAGAAGAAGCCTGAAAAAAATCAGGGCTTCAACGGGATTCGAACCCGTGACCTCCGCGTTACCGTGTAGAATCTATCGTGTAGAACACCACGCTGAACGAAACCCAGGAATATTTAGTGGAGCCTAAGCGTGAACGTGCGGTGGAGCCTCCATTGCTATGGAAAATGGAAACCTATCGATGCGAGAAAATTCCAATAAATATCTTAGATTTCTTTTGCTTAAATTAAAAATAGATAAAAATAAATTCAAATAGAGTTTGAAGGATGGCTTTTAGCTTGGTCAAGCTTTTGGTCACACTCCAGGACCAATCTATAGCTGGATTCATGTGTAAAAATGTATGCAGCATCTTCTTACTGGGGTCACTGAAATGGAACAGTAAGTTATGATTCGTAATAATGACCTCCTGTTCCACCTCAGTGGCCTACGCTTTCTTTCATTAAAAATAATTACCTGTTCAAAACAATGGAAGGATGCTTTAATACGATTTATATTCAGGTGACTGCACATACTAACACGTTGGTTTTGAATTATTTGTTCTACACTGACTTTTAGCTGTTTTTTGTTATTACATAATAAGGAGAATAAAATACATACGAGACGACAATTCCAGCTTATAATAATTTTACTTGCCTGCAACTGTCCACTCTGACACCAAAATTAATACAATCAAAATTCTTTCTTGTATTGACATCTGCATAAAGGTAAAAAATAACATAGTGAAGAACGTAGTCTCCTCAAGTGAACTGATTCGCAGCATAGTAGTATAGCTATTGTATTTTATTCTTCTTGAGCATGAAAACCATAAAAAAATCTCAATGGGCAAATTCTGCTTATCATCCCGCCCATCATTTGTTCTTGGCGCATCACTGACGTTGATTCTCTCGCAACAAAGTATAAAAGTATTGACAAAGTGATTGTTAGTTGGTCATGAACGTTAATTATGATGTGACCATGAGGTCGGAAAATTTCTCACTTGGCTTGGTTATGTAAGATAAATAATAAACAACGACGAATAAATAGCGATTTAGAGGTGGCCGGCATCAACACATAGTGGTTCTTCGTCTACTATTCTCGGTTAATTTTTTTTTTTTGAATCTTGAGGGGAAGGGAATACTGGAGTACCTGGAGAAAAACCTAGTGGGACAAAGAGGAGACACAACGAAAACTCAACCACGTATGGCATCCTTGCCAACGCCTGAATTTGAACCCGGGTGACATTGTTGGGAGGGTAGTGCTCTCACCACTGCACCTTTGATAGTCACTAACTCTCTTAGAAGGTAATGGCGGGTTCGATTTCGACTACGAAGAAAGGGGCCAGGTAAGGGATGTATTATGAGAAAAGTGACTGCGGTGAGGGGGAGGGGGGACACGGAAGTCAACGTGCGTAGGAAAAATCGTGGAGGCACTTAACGTCAGTCAAAGACTTTAAATTTAACAAATAGAAGAAGCTGGACGAAAAAGTGATTAGCATGTCTCCGTCTCAACCGTACCTACAAGTTCATAGAAACCTTCGTTCCCAATACCATGGACCAAAGCAGTGGATATTCTCAGGTTTGAGAAATTCTATTCTAAACTCGCTTCAAGTAACAAAACACTTAAAGCACTTTTCCATGTGCTCACAAAACTCTTTTTACTGTTTCAGGTACCCCAAGAGGGGGTAGCGCCTAGTGCTTACAAATAACAAACAAGTTCAGGTTGATTGCGTGTCCAACTGTTCCATTTAGGTCACGTACTCTTGCTGGCCAGCGAAGTTCAACGGGCACGGTCGTGTTATTGTGGCGGATGCGATTCTGGTCCCTTCTGCTCACTTGGATAACACGAACCGGTCCATCCTGACATGGAAAAACTTCTTCCACTCGTACCAGATGCCACTGACTGTGTGGAAATGAGCACTAACCCTCCAACTTTCAGATTGTCCTTCGCCTCTCGTCGGGTGTTAATTGTTGCCAGAAACTCTTCTCTCCAGGGCCTGTAGACCAACTTCACCTGGTTCTGATTCAGTCTTCAACGGTTCCAGGAATACAAAACGATGTCATCGATAACTTGAGCTGCTAGTTGTCATCCCGGCTGCCCAAATAAGAAATAGTTAGGTTTCAAGACTGGCTCGTCTCGATGGTCAGCTCTTCCATACGTCAATGGTCTTGAGTTCATCAAGGCTTCTACTTTGATAGAAGCCTGCACTCCGTCATTGGTAAGTCCTGCATTTCCAACTGTTGCCTTCAGAATTTTCTTAGCTACTTGAATCAGTGACTCAGAAACCCCACAGTGAACCCAATTCTATCTAATCCCCTTGCTGGCAGCATTGTATGCGATCCGCTCTTGATTGATTGCTTGAACAAGTTCTCTGATCTCTCTCTTGCCCCTCTCAAAGTTTGTCCCATTATGGCTTGTGACTTCTCCCGGTCTTCCACTGGTAGCTACTAGCTAAAGAAATTCATGAAATATGTGGTGCTTAATGAAAATGTCAAGTCTATATGCACAGCTCTAGTTGCAGAGCGCGTAACCAGCAAGTATTCCCTTTCACACATCGCATTCTTTTTCCCAATTCCTATCCTCCTGCCGACCATCTATGACCTAGTATCGATTTCGTACCTAAGGTAGCACATTTTTAAACTCCCACATGTTGGCAACGGTTGTTGACACGGGCATAAAACAATTGGGTGAGGTTTTCTTCTTTGGGAAGATCATGGGGTGATCCATGTGCTGCATCATAAGGTAGTTCTGCTCTGTCCAGCCTCCCTTTGTCTCGTAATATTCCTAGTTCATCACAATGGGGGTATGAGGTTTCAAGTGGCAAGAACTCAGGTCTGCTACACCAACGATGCTCACTTGCCAGCACCTTCGCTTGCCGCCCTTGAGTCGCATCATCTGCACAATTCAAACTAGTTGGGATGTATCGCAAACTTCCCATGCCAATGTGACGGCAAGTACAAGGTTTTTCATTGAAGCTGAAAAATGGATAGCTAGACGCACTAGAGATGGCGGCTTTATTTTTCCTGAAAGCGGGAACCTTCGGCGCTAAAAATTTGAGGGAAATCTCCGTAGATGCTATACCTTGCTTTTTAATTGAGTTTTTTTTTTGTAACGAAAGGGCAAATACACAGTAACTTTGATAAACAGAAGTTTTTTTCTCCCCCGTATTCAGCACAAAGTTGTTCTTTTTGTACTGCTAACTGTATTCGCCGTTGGTTTCTAATTAATATTCATTTTGTTGTAATAAAGCTTTTGGTAAGAATACCCTTTCAGATAGAAGATAGTCTGTCGGCACCCTTTCTCTACTTGTGCTTACACAAATGTGTAAGCGTAGCATTTTAAGGTTAAATTTGACCAGCATTTTGTACAGCGAGTTGCATAATGGTCAAGATTGACTTCAAACTTGTTAGGGAAAAATCTGTCAAAGGATTTTGAAGTTATTCACATTTTCGCCAAAAAAAAAAAGTTTTAAGTATTATACCTTATCTTAAACGTTTTTAATTATACCTACAAGAAATTCTTTATCAAGGATGCCAGAAATAATCGAAATTAAGAAATTTTTCCCAATGAAAAAACGCGGTTCAAAAACATAACCAACACGCATATAAACCCAGCTAACAAGATGAATATTACTTGACCAAAGAAGTCGATAATGTTCTGAAAACATACATAGTTACGTCAAAATAATTTTTGTCATGAATTCGGTTAACATTATCCCATTGTTCATTTTCGATGCATTAACAAGATTCAGCAAAATTTTAATGTGTTATCAAGAACCGGGAAATTTGCCAAAAATACCACACAAATGGGACCCTTTTCGACCTCTTTGTTAGTTCTTAAATAAGAATTCCTGTTGCATTCGAAATATATTATAAGGATCTCTCGCCATTTTAAAACAACTTCCTTTTGCCTTTTAAACGGTGCGTTGAAATTGTCTTAGTTTGCATCTCCCAACTGAGGGCTGTGCGCAGTGAAAAGTTCCGCTCTTTGAATCAACAGTCAAATGACAAACAAAATTGTTCACGCAGAATTGTTCAGGAAATTGTGCATGTTACCTAGTTCTTAGAAACAAAAACTGAATGTTCTAAATTATTTCACTCTAATGTTTTCACATTGGCACAAGGAGGAAATAATTCTACTTGTCTAGTTCTATACACTTTGAGATACTTTCAAGTACTTTCTCCATGACTTTTTTTTCTTGAGGAAGCCAGGTTACTAACCTTGAACAAAGCGTGATTAGAGCATTTCTTGCAGGAGGAACGTTCACGATAATAAACAAACCAAGTCTCGCTTTAACAGTGTTTTTATTAAACACCTGCAGGCAAACCCAATAATTGATCTCAGATGACGCTGACTGCTATGAAGAATAAAAATGCATGGATAATATTTCTTTAATTGTGAACGATATTGTCGAGCCGGTGAGGCTACAACATTTTAAGTTAGTTGAAAGTTAATACAAGTATTTTTGTTCATTGCTGATATTATTGCACCAAATTTGCCATGGGTCCCTTAATTACGTTTTCTCCTAAACAACACAGTAATGAAGCAAGGAAGGATCCTCTTGTGCAATTTGTTGTGTTTTCAAACTTTTGCCATTTGCATTGATATGACACCGTGTGCGACAACAGCTACAGCAATTAATGTATTGATGTATTCATCTCTAATTAATGTATTCATAAACACAAAATGCAGAGGCGAAAATTAGCCCCGTAAAATTTTCAGCCCAAGAAGAATAACGGATTATGAAATTTCTTAAGAATATAAACCTTTTTTAGGGCTCCGGTGAACGATAAAGTGTTAAGCACCAAGAGAACGCACATCTTCCAATGCAACAGTTACAGTTTAGACAAACTCTTTTCTTAGACTCTCAAACATCACCGAGTAATTTAATGGAATGGGTAAACTTATCGCTTATAATAAAAACGTTTTTTCTCCAACATAGCCTAACTTAGATTTATTTACACTTCAAAGTTCAATGTAGCGCGTGAAAACTATCTTTGCGATGCAATTTGTACACATTTTAGCTTTCCAAAAAATACCAAAGATTAATAAATTACACATGGCGGTATCTCAACGTTAATTAAGCAAAACGTTTCTTATTGACTTGATGTTTTCTTCTCCGAAACACGTAAAAACGAAATAGTTTTCAAAATCGTTTTCTTTTTTACTAATCCTCTCATAACTTTTACCCCTTCTAATCCAGGCGGTTTCCTAATTTTTGTAGAGTTAATAACCCTAACATTCTGCTGTCTCTCTACTTAACAAAACGGTTGTCAGGAAGGGTAAAAAAAAAATGTTGTGCAGAAAATAGTGGAGCAAAAAAAATAATTTATAAAATTTTAAACAAAGTTCCTGTATTGAGCTAGAGGTTATGATATAACTTGATCCACCCCACACTGTTTGGCCACTGGACCTGGCTATTAAAGGGACTTTGAGACGCTTCTGCGCATATGCGGCGTCTTGATTTCTGGTCTGGCGAACCTTTTTTCAAGATTGGCTTTTGGTGAAAAAAATCTTCTTCCATCAACCCTGAGAAGCCCGAGAAAGCTATTATATCAGTATTCAAGAGCTATTTGGTCCATTTTGGAAGTTTTAAACGCCATATTTTGTATTTTTGTGCAAGCATTGTCGAGAAAATTCGAAATCATTGAGGAGAAGTGCACGAAGCCATATTCTTTGTCCTTGGTATCCCTGCAAACGGATCAAATGTTGCGTTTAATGTGGTCCTCTGGATTTCATTTCTGTCTATTAAGTTCTCCAGTCAACGATCTACTTTTTCCGGATAGTTTTTAAACGTTAAATACGTAAAGAAAGTTGAAAAGGGTTTCCTCGTTAAAGCCGTGAACAACAAATGGGACGTAGCGGCGAGCGAAGCTGATCTGAGACATGACGTCCGATTGTCTGCAACAATTTACTCTCTCGAGTTCCTGGAATCAGAAGGAGAAAACCCAGCAATCTTTATTGTACAGGAAGTCGTGTGAGGTTTGAGCAAAGAATCCATCGAACATAAAACGTTTTAAAAGGCATTCGATGAGTCTTCGATTTATGACTCCGAACCGTAGTTGTATACTAGAAAGTACTGACAACAGGCCGCGCGATCTTTTCCGTGGTTCACTCGGAATGTTCTTTGTATCTTTGCTGTATGAGCGTAAATTTTTAAGAATTGATCTTTTTAAAATAGGTTGTTGCCTGAATGTTTCGTTTATTATCTGGTTTCTTTATGTGATGAACTCAATAAAAAGACGCATGCAGTGTTCATCGCGCTAGCCGACCGCATTTATTATAGTGCGCATTTGGCTAGCATTTTAAGCAAAAGGTTTGCCACATTCGATACTGTGTGTTTTGCTCTCAGGTCAGGCGCAATTTGCAGGTATTTCTAGGTTTATGTAGGACAAACAGAGAGATCAGTAAGGTTTTTGTTTACAAATTATTTCTGTTTGCGGAACGGAGACTGGTTTGCTAGCGTGGGTACAAAAAAATTTTCTATAGGTAAATGTTTGTTTCAAATCAGGACAGGGTTGTTAATCTTATTCTTACCGGCTGCAACATATATCTGAGGAATACCAGAGAATAAATTTGAATTATGGTGATATTTCTGGTGATATGTAAAATATATAAAATGTAACAAAAACGTCTGGAAGTCTCCCGCTTTGCGAACAACGAACTTTGAATTAGGCAAATTTCTTTGCGTGCATCTTACTCGCTTCCGATTGGTTTAAAAACAATCAGCTACTGTCAAAGCTCACACATGAGCACTATCCTAACACATTCCCTTTAATGACCGCAATAACCGTGTAATTGGTGGTATAGTCACTAAAAATGCTCTAGCTGTCACAAAAAAATGTTTAAAAGGCTAAAACATGTAAAACATATTTTAATAGACGTATTGTTCGGAAACTAGAACACAAAGGAAGTTTTCTCCTTTATTCATTACCTCGGTTTTGTGGATAAAAATAACCAATTTAAGCTTCCGCTTAAGCTTTAATCAGGCTGCTATAATTAATTCATTACAAACAAAAACAGCAACTATCGCACATAAAAATTGAAAATAGAGAATGAAAAATATTTTGAATTTCTTTTCTTGAAAGTTTATTATTGTTATTATTTTTTTACATCTTCAAATGAGTACAATAACTGTGTGAACTTAAGATATTAAGCAAAATACCTGGTACTGAAAAAAAGCTTGTCTAATACTCAGACCACCAGCTAAAATGGTTTAATTGATAAAGCTAGAAGAAAACTTGTAAATTTTTGCAAACCTTAAGTGAGAGCATTTACTCACCAAGAAACAAAAGACCAAGGTTATGCGAGACCTAGTATAGCATTTTAGCTTCTTCTTTCAAGAATTTGGAGAAAACTTCATTTCTGTCTTGTCCCCTCGGTAAGGAATATCATTTTTGATGTGTTAATAACTTTAAGTAAATTTCAAAATGTTGCAAAGAACCTGGAAAGTCGACGCAGCAACAATAGACATGGGAACTTTTAAAATAATAAAAAAAGGAATTGCTGTTGCATTCGATATACATTATAAGGATCTCTAGACATTTTAAACAACTACCTTTTGCCTTTTAAATTGTGCGTTGGAATATATTGTCCTTAATTAGTTTCCATCTACTAATTAAGAGTTGGGCGAAATAAAAAGTTCCACTATTTGAATCAACAGATAAATGTCAAACAACATTGCTCAGACAATGAAAAAGGCGCTGAATTGTTCACAATGATATGCATGGTACCGAGTTCAGATTACTTTTAAAAAATGTTCTGATAAAAATACTGAATATTCCATTATTACATTGAAATTATTCCATTGTTATGTTTTCCCTTTGGCACAAGAAGAAAATAATTCTATACACTTTGAGATACGTTCAGGTTCTTTATCCGCGACTTTTTGCTTGA